GTCTTCTGGTGTCGTTGTTGAACTGGCAATGAAAATTTTGAACGTCGAAGTTGATAGACTGGCAAACACCGTCTTCCATGCAGGATAAAAAACAAGTACTCAGATTCATGTCTGAAAACGACTTATAAGAAAACCCTTGAAGTTCGATACCAACTTCAGTAGAAGCGAGAAGCGAAAATGGCTGAGATTTCACAAAGAAATGCCGACTGTAGTGAACAAACGAAAAAAAGACAAAAATTGATGCACATTTTGCCATAGCTGTTATCCCGTTTTCTAAACCTTTTAGGAAAATCTGTTGAATTACACACCTGATTGGTGTTCTATTATGCTAACGGTAAATTAAGAGAATTGCAACCTGCTTTGATACCAAAAGGTAAATAATATTTTTTCTCATAGTTTAGTCATGAACCCGCTGTGCTGATAAGTGTGCGATTTGCCAATTCAGCTTTTTGATTTTTTATCATGAATTATTGACATAACAAATATGACGCCCTAAATCGCCGAAATGGAAAAGAAAAAAGAGTCTTTTTTCTCGCTTTTTTCTAATTGACATTTTCTATTTTGTAATATGTATTTAAACAACAAATGCTCTTTGCTTAAGGTATCTTAAAAGGTATCTGGATACAGTTGTTTAGAACTCCGACAGGGACGAAAGAAACGGATGAAAAAAAGTAATTTAAGTTAGTCAAATCGTAATTTCATGAGGTTATGTCTTAGTTTAGCTCCTGAAGCCAAGCTAAATAAATACCATTAATAGTTTAGCGTTATTATATCGAATAACAAACGAAATATCATGTAATCACGTTTATCTGACTCTCCCTTCTCGCCATTGCTTTCATATGGCACTTGGCGCCTCCACCAAGATTTACAGCTCATTGTTGTCTTTGGGCCCCCTTTAAAATTCTCCCCAGGCCTTCTGCATCCCCTTAATTTCTCTCTCTATAGTCGCCCCCATGTCTCTCTCGGTTTCCCTATCAGAGAAGCCCACACGAAGCTCGGAACTTCCTTTATAGAAATGCATATTTTACAGTCTTCTGGGGTAGGTGAAAAGAGGCGATGAGGTTTTTAAAAAAAACTATTATGTGAGCGATCGTTTCGGATTTGTTTAAAGAAACATCCGTCATTTAAAAATGATTTCTGATCGGTTGAATAAAAAAATATCAGGATTGCGAGGAGATGCGTTGATAGGTTCTCGGATGAGCGACAATAATGTACCACCTTGTCACAATGACGAAAGAGAGATTCCAGCGCACATTATTAACTTTGGTGGTCAAATAGCAGTTTTCTAACGAACAAACAGTTCCCAAATGTCCCAACACTAAGTGAAGGTTCGTTTTTGTCATCGCATCGAAATGTCGGACTTTTCCAATACAGGTTTTCACTTTAACGAATAAATATTTCCCAAATGTCCCCGACGTTGAGTGATCCATARGTAACTCCAGTATAGTCATCACAATTATATTTCTGGATGGAAAAGTAGTACTTCTCTTCCCATAACATAGAAGTGCTGTATAGTCGTGTACTTCCATAATTGGAAGATTTTCCCCATCGATTCACCTCTTTTCCACCATTATAACCCCATTTCAGGCAATTCCGTGCAAGAATCGACGTGTCATCTGGTAGTCTTTCANCTGGATACAGTTGTTTAGAACTCCGACAGGGACGAAAGAAACGGATGAAAAAAAGTAATTTAAGTTAGTCAAATCGTAATTTCATGAGGTTATGTCTTAGTTTAGCTCCTGAAGCCAAGCTAAATAAATACCATTAATAGTTTAGCGTTATTATATCGAATAACAAACGAAATATCATGTAATCACGTTTATCTGACTCTCCCTTCTCGCCATTGCTTTCATATGGCACTTGGCGCCTCCACCAAGATTTACAGCTCATTGTTGTCTTTGGGCCCCCTTTAAAATTCTCCCCAGGCCTTCTGCATCCCCTTAATTTCTTTCTCTATAGTCGCCCCCATGTCTCTCTCGGTTTCCCTATCAGAGAAGCCCACACGAAGCTCGGAACTTCCTTTATAGAAATGCATATTTTACAGTCTTCTGGGGTAGGTGAAAAGAGGCGATGAGGTTTTTAAAAAAAACTATTATGTGAGCGATCGTTTCGGATTTGTTTAAAGAAACATCCGTCATTTAAAAATGATTTCTGATCGGTTGAATAAAAAAATATCAGGATTGCGAGGAGATGCGTTGATAGGTTCTCGGATGAGCGACAATAATGTACCACCTTGTCACAATGACGAAAGAGAGATTCCAGCGCACATTATTAACTTTGGTGGTCAAATAGCAGTTTTCTAACGAACAAACAGTTCCCAAATGTCCCAACACTAAGTGAAGGTTCGTTTTTGTCATCGCATCGAAATGTCGGACTTTTCCAATACAGGTTTTCACTTTAACGAATAAATATTTCCCAAATGTCCCCGACGTTGAGTGATCCATAAGTAACTCCAGTATAGTCATCACAATTATATTTCTGGATGGAAAAGTAGTACTTCTCTTCCCATAACATAGAAGTGCTGTATAGTCGTGTACTTCCATAATTGGAAGATTTTCCCCATCGATTCACCTCTTTTCCACCATTATAACCCCACTTCAGGCAATTCCGTGCAAGAATCGACGTGTCATCTTGTAGTCTTTCAAACGAGTTGCACGCCGTCGGCCATGTTGCTTTGACGAGGAAGTGATCCAGTACTTTGTGTCCAGCGGTGTTGTTGGTTGTCATGATGTGAAGGGTTCGGTTGATGCTCTTCTTACGACATCGAAATCGAAGCTGATGGAAACCCATGTCATTTCTTAAGTTTTTCAGTGCTGCTAATCTGATCCGTTGCCGGTAATTTGTGTAGCTTGCAAGGGACTTATACTCTTTTTCTAGTACAACTGATTGCGGAGCTGTAGTCGGCAGTTGTGCCCTCGTTATCAATGTCCAGCCTCCTAGTAAAAAAGAAAACAACATATATGGAGATGAATTTCTCATCAAGCAGGCCAAACGGGTAGAAGTTTGTTTGTGTTTTAGGTATTTTGTTTTCAGTAANGTCATGATGTGAATGGTTCGGTTGATGCTCTTCTTACGACATCGAAATCGAAGCTGATGGAAACCCATGTCATTTCTTAAGTTTTTCAGTGCTGCTAATCTGATCCGTTGCCGGTAATTTGTGTAGCTTGCAAGGGACTTATACTCGTTTTCTAGTACAACTGATTGCGGAGCTGTAGTCGGCAGTTGTGCCCTCGTTATCAATGTCCAGCCTCCTAGTAAAAAAGAAAACAACATATATGGAGATGAATTTCTCATCAAGCAGGCCAAACGGGTAGAAGTTTGTTTGTGTTTTAGGTATTTTGTTTTCAGTAATAACATACAAGGCTAATATTTAAGGATGAAGCAATGGTTCGAGCTGCGTTGAATAAATGTGCAATGAATATTATAGTCGCAGTAGAAATGATAATATACATGTACGCAATTATTAATAAATGTATGGAAGGCCCGTTATTTTTTTTTCACTGTTGAAGGGCTAAGAGTCATCTCACGAAATTCAAGGAGCTTTATGACATGACATGTGAACTTGGATGTATGACGAACCGCGTCGTTTATGCATTATGGGTAATATGCAAGATCTCTCATCATCACTGAAGAAAAGCTAATGATGAAGCAGCGAGACTCATTACAGTCAAAAGACAHGAAGCGCGTCTCCAGAGACACCATTATTCAATTCATTATTGGATTTTTCATTGTATTTTTGTTCTTCAAACGTTTGTTGGTTTATGCAAAAATCAATTCAAATCTCGAACTCTATTGGAAAATGGACTACACAATAAACCCGCACAGAATGCCCTTCGAGACGAAATACTAGCGTAATTTAACCAGGGTTACTCTAAACGAAATAGCACGTGGATTACGAATATCAGCGAGCTCCGTTAAAAAAAARAACACGGCAATTACAGCTTTTTGCTTGGAACAGTCATTCCTTTCTCACTCAACCAAAGTAACAGACAGCATATTGCATTGCATCGAGTTGATAAAGATCCCCAACAAACCGTGCAGTAATTATTTCTAGTACGCTTGGAAAAGTATTGTTAAAATGCATTTTAGTTTGGAATGACATGGTTTGACATGGTTTTGGTGAATAACGCTATCATTCTTACATTAGTTGCCCGAATAAAGATTATTCAAAGACTTCAACAGAGCTTCGTGGTAACACCGAACTGTTGCCAGATTTAGGAAATTAAAAGGAATTCAAAAGTTTGCAAGCTTTGTTTATATAATACCTCCATCAGTAGTCATGTCACAGTAGACAGTGAAGGGTTGTCCAGTGTTCCCAGGATCAATCCAGTATTCTCTATCTCCACGAGATTCACCAAGATCTTTGATTTCCTTGCACGAGTGACCAGCAAAAAGAGGATCGGAACCTTTCTTTGCTAAATGATACCAGAGAGACATTGAATTAGCCAACTTAAAGCGAACAAACCGACAATAGATCAGTTTATCAATTATCGAACAACCGAACATCCCCTGTCAGCACAATTTGTCGTTTTGGTATGAGTAGCGGTAGATTTTAGTCTCCGATAAGTTGCGCTTTCGGTCGAAACAGAAACAATATGTAAATTCCGCTGAAAAGTTAGCAAATTGAGTGTAAAATTCTTAGGTTTAGTCAGGATTTGAGGTTCTTGCAGCTCAAMGAGCCAGTGGGATTGATAAAAAAGGCCTGCTGAGTCATCAGCACTATCTAGCTCGTGACATTTACATCTTTTGGTAAAAACACAGGTATTGTCACTGACTCTTTTCAACTCGAATTGAGTTGCAATTTTTTCGTTAGTTTAGTTGTTTGCTCTCTGTCTCGAAAGAATAAAAATGATATTTTCGGTTAGACGCTAAGACTAATTTAATGAGAAAATCATTAGAAAACATGTTTTATTTTCCTATGGTATRTAATTGTACACAGTCATTATTTATTGATTTCCATCAGAAACCTATAAGGAACTTGAAACGTGTAGCAACGTGCCATCCGTTGGAATATTCAAACCTAATTTGCATCTCATTTCCTCATTTGGAACAATTCAATTTACCCTAGCCAACCAGAACGGGCTTTCAATCTCTTATCCAACGCTCGAATTTTCCAAATATGATCATAACGTTCGTTTTCGAATTTTTAATTATCTTTGAATATCCCGACGCTTGGTACTAAAGAAATGTACGGGTGCAACATGTTTCATGTCCCTTATAGGTTTCTTCTTCCAAAGAAGACAAGCATTGATTCAAGTCACGAAAATGTCGTCAAAGTTAGAGGATAATATTTTATCTCATAACTTTGGAGCAAATTATCACAAATTTCTTATTAAAAAACAGTAAATTAGGAGGAAATTTGTTATATTTTGCTCCAAAAAAGAGAAACAGATAAATTGARATTAAGAACATATAAAAAGATTGGCACCACACAGGCGCGCCCAGACAATTTGTCATCTTTACCCTTTAAGAGAATGTAATTGATCTGCACTGCACGAATAGAAAGTGGAAAATTATTATCTATTTCGAAGTAATTATACTGATTAATTAATTATACTTAATTATTATATAGCGAGGATGTAACACACGATTTCATTGGCTAAAAAGCGGGCCGTACTTTCCAGTACGGACTAGAAAAAACGAGAATAACTTTTTAAATCTTAAAAAAATCTCGCTTTCTCTCTTTTTAAGCATTTTTAATTTTCTTTTTTTCTCTTCGTTTCCCAGCCTTTTCTTTTTTCTTTCTATTTTGAATAACGAGAAAAGTACGAATAGAAACGTATTTTTATGTCCCGCGATTCTCTATTAATTTTACCATTTTCCCCGAAAACGCTATATAATGAAGATAAAATTAACCTCGCTTGGCCGAGCCGTGCGGGCAGGCGTGTAACTCGATCMCTTTTTTTCCACTTTTTTTATGGCGCTCGCGCTACGCGCTTTTGTCATATGTCAGCGGAAAAATATTCCGCGCCCCTGGCGCTCGGTTAATGAGATATTAGTATATTGTCGAAAATGTGTTATTGAAAAAACGTGTATATTTGGCTGCAATGCCTTCATAGCTGTGTGCAACGGACGTGTAAACTTTTGATTATTCCATGATTTCTTATGAATTTTTTACCGCGAATGATGTGACATAACTCTAGGCTTCGCTCTAGGCGAAGTGTTGATAATTTATATAATCTCTGAAAACGGTATTAAAACTTTCTAACTTTAACTCTAACTACTAAGAAAGACAAAAAAACTGAACTAAGATTAAATGAAATTTGACGTACCTCGTTCAGGATTTTCCATATAAA